CTCAGATGGCAGCTTGTAAGCTTTTAAGACCTCAGACGTCTCTCACCAAAGTAGGATGCAGAACATTTTCTTAATAAGCTTGTTATGCCAATTGACCTAGATGTCGCCTGAAAGCATGCTCCCCAGACCCCTACCCCTGCTACTCTGACTCTCAAAGTATTTGATTGTATTCAGGAAACTTCTTAGCTTTGTTTTAATCCAGTTGTGCTGACTTCCCCTGTTGTGTGTGCTGTCCTTCCTTTCATCTAAGATGATTCTTGACTACTATCTAGTTAGTAAATACCCCTCACCCTCCCTCCCTACCCCCGTAACCATCAAAGAATGTTTTCTTCTGTGTTTAAATTAACCCTTTTCTTGGGCTCTTATAATAGTGGTCCTACAGTAGGTGTCCTTCTGTGACTCACTAAATTCACTCAGCATAATAAGTTACAGCTTCCACCATGTTATACAGTGTTTCACGGCTTCATCGTTGATCTTTATTGTTGCATAGTATTCCATTGTGTGGATATACCATAATTTGTTTATCCATTCGTCCGTTGATGGGCACCTAGGTTGTTCCATCTTTTTGCTATTGTGAACAGTGCTGCAATGAACATGGGTGTGCATATATCTATTCGTGTGACGGCTCTTATTTCTCTAGGATATATTCCAAGGAGTGGGATTGCTGGATGGTATGATACTTCTCTTTCTAGCTTTTTAAGGAAGCACCAAATTGATTTCCAAAGTGGTTGTACCATTTTACATTCCCAGCAACAGTGTATAAGTGTTTCAGTCTCTCCACAACCTCTCCAGCATTTATTATTTTGTGTTTTTTAGATTAAGGCTAGCCTTGTTGGGGTGAGATGATATCTCATTGTAGTTTTGATCTGCATTTCTCTAATGGCTAATGATCATGAGCATTTCTTCATGTGTCTGTCAGCCACCTGAATATCTTCTTTGGTGAAGTGCCTGTTCATATCCTTTGCCCATTTTTTAATTGGTTTATTTGTCTTTTTGTTGTTGAGGTTTTGCAGTATCTTGCAGATTTTAGAGATTAGATGCTGATCAGATTTGTCGTAGCCCAATTTTTTTCCCAGTCTGTAGGTTGTCTTTTTACTCTTTATTGAAGTCTTTTGATGAGCCTAAAAATCAAACACTTATGCTCATCAAAAGACTTCACCAAAAGAGTAAAAAGAACAACGTACAGGCTGGGAAAATTTTTTTGGCTACAACAATACTGCCAACTTTCGTGTTTTGTTGATTTTTGTAGTGAACCATTTTGATTCTCTTCCGCTTTCCTTTTGTGTGTATTTTTTAGATACAGTCAGTCCCTGGGTTATGAGCGTCCAACTTACGGACAACTTGAACTTAAGAATGGATTGCCATAAAACCTATTATATTAAAAATTTGAGTTAAATACAGTAGTTCATAATAGCGAATGCATGAACTACTTTGTGAAGCTCATGAAAACATTGTGTGGTTTGGAAGTGTTTCTTAAGTGTTTTATATGCATCAAAAGGTAAAATATATACTATGTACTAAGACAAACATTTGACTAACTGACACTAAAAAAGAACCATATGTACTCATTCCAACTTACCTATAAATTGTCTTAAAGACAGACAGGAACAGATCTTGTTCATAACCTGGGGATTGCTGGTATTTTTTTTGTGGTTATCATAAGGATTACATTTAACATCTTACATCTATAACAACCTGGTTTAAATTGATACCAGCTTAACTTCAGTAACATACAAAAACTCTGTACCTATACAATCCCCCCTCATTTATGCTGTTGTTATCACCTATTAAAACTTTATACATCATGTGTCCAATAACACAAATTCATACCTATTTTTATACATTTGTCGTTATAAAGCATGAAGGACATAACAAATAGAATTATCAAACAAAAATACCTTGAAACTTGCCCTTATACTTGCCCACAAAATTACCTTTAATGGCGATCTTTTTTTCTATGTACAGCTTCAAGTTACAGCCTAGTGTCTTTTATTTCCCGTCTGAAGCACTCCCTCTAGCGTTTCTTGTAGAGTAGGTCTAGTGGTTACAAACTCTCTCAGCTTTTGTTTGTCAGGAAATGTCTTAATTTCACCCCCACTTTTGGAAAGTTTTGCCATATATAGTATTCTTGGTTGACAGTTCTTTTCTTAAAGCACGATAAATATGTCATTGCATTGCCTTCTGGCCACCAAGGTTTCTGAGGAGAAATCAGCACTCATCTTATTGGGGATCCTTTGTATGTGACTATTTGCTTCTCTCTTGCTTTTAGGATTCTCTTTTTATCTTTAGTTTTTGAAAGCTTGATTATAATATATCCCAGTGTGGATCTCTTTGGCTTTATCCTACTTGGAATTCATTGAGCTTCTTGGATTTGTAGATTCACATCCTTTGTCAGATCTAGAAAGTTTTCTGTCATTGTTTCTTCAAATATTCTTTCTGTCCTTTTCTCACTCTCATCTTCCTCTGGGATTCCCATGATGCATATGTTAGTTCGCTTAATGGTGTCCCACATTTCCATTAGGCTATGCTTAGCAGTCTTGAGCCATCTCTTTTGTTGCTCCTAAGCCTCCATAATTTCAATTACTTTATCCCCTAGATAGATGATTCTTTCTTCTACCAACTCAAATCTGTTGGTATATCCTTCAATGAGTTATTTCAATTATTATGTCTTTCAGTTCCAATATTTCTGTTCAGTTTCTTTTATAGTGTCTACCAGGCAATGTTTCATTCTGTTATACATGGGGACACTATGAATCAGAACTGACTCAATGGCACCTAATAACAACATTTTATTTATATTCTCATTTTGTTCATACATCATTCTCCTGATTTCCTTTAGTTCTTTGTCTGTGTTTTCCTTTAGTTCTTTCAGATTGTTTAATAATGTTGTATTATAGTCTTCCGATCTGTTTATTATTCAGGCTTCCATAAGTAAAATTTCTCTCCCTTCGTCTTACTCATTTGGATAGGCCATCATTTCCATTTCTCAGTTCTGCTAAATATGCAATGCTTTTGATAGTGCTAATTTCTACAAGAAAATTTTAGGTGGGCACAGCCTTCAGACTTTGCTTACCACTCCTTCTCCCTCCCCGTGATATATCTGGTGCAGCCCAGACTGAGGTTTCAGTCCTTCAACAGCTCCCAAACTTTTCAGAAAACACACACTGATTAATCTGCCCTCAAGCATGTATAACCCTCAGCTCTGTAAGGGCTCCAATTCTGGCCAGACCAAGGTTTCGGTCTTTCAGGCCACCTCCAGACTGGTCAAACTATACACTGTGAACAGTCTGATAGCAAAATTGTCCTATTTATTACAGAACCAGCAATCAGGGCCTTTCCCAGGGCACAGGAGAGCCATGCATTGGCTGGAGGTGCAGCTGCAGCTCTTTTCCTACCGTATGAGATTCATCTTGTCTTGATTCAGTTTGCAGCTCCCTGCTGCAGTCCTTTGCCCACCATTTCAGAGTTCTCACAAAGCTGAGTACAGACATCTAATTGCCTTTCTTTGTGTTTATGTGGGGAGGGTCAAGTTCTTAGACCTGCTCACAGCCATATTCCTAGCATTCCCTAGGGTCCCTGTTTTCTGAGGTCTTCCTAAGGAGTTCTGTCAGATCCTGTTCAAATGAAACAGAGGTCTCTTCTCTTAGGAACTTCTGCTCCAGCAGTGGAGGAGGTGGAGCATACAGAAGTTAAAAACTATTACAAGGATGGAATGAGTGGAAAGGAAGTAAAAGTAAGATGCTACTAGGTGTTGACTTTCAATTTTGATGGTTCCCCTTGGTGGTAGAATGTCTCTACAGTGGCATTAGCCTCATGGAGGTGGCATCAGCCCACACCTGCAAGTGACAGTGGCCCCTGCTTACACTGTGGCTCTCCACTGTCTCCCTTCTCTTAAGAATACCTCCTTCAAGTCCTTGGAAAATTCCATTTCTTATTTCCAACTATGATTATATATTAATTAAATTTAAAGCAAACTGTCATTTCTATGGATTTGATGTAGAAGTAAAAGACTTTAGAGTGCTCTCAATCTACCATATTCATTGGTAGTCCATGCATAAACTTTGAATAGTCTGTGGGAATTATTCTGGCCATCTCTATTCTCTGAGATGGCAGGGATAGGAAAGGAAAACATATTCAATAGGACAGGATATAGCTTGGCTGGGTGGGCCAGAATGAGCAAGGGACAGGACAGGGACAAGTAAAAGAAGAGCAGACTGGTCTGGCTAGGCTAAGACAAGAGCTGGGAAGAGGCACACAGGATAAGAAAGTTGTGATGGTACCTGGATGGTTGGTGGCTTTTGGGAGCTAATGATGGACTTAACACCAGATGTAGAGAAACCCTAGAAGCTGATAGATGGCCACTTTGAACAGAAGTATAAGCCTTGGCCATGTGCACAGTTAGGCCTCCACCTCTAAAGAATCTGCTTCTTGGAATGATTCATAGAAGCTGGTGCTTTCCAGGTTGGTTCTCAGGAAGCTAGAATCCCTGGAGTTCTCTGGGTGAAATACCCACAGTGGATGCAGGTCTTTGAGGACCCAGACCCAGATAGATCCAGTTTAAGTTAAGAGCCTTCCACTGAGGTCAAGTCACTTCAGTTCCCTGAACCTCTGTTCTCTCCTCTTTAAAATGGGATTAATCGTGGTTTTTATTTTCTGGAGTCATGGTGGGAGTGAAATGAAATATGTTCTGAAAGTTTATTAATTTAACTGAATTTCTGGTAAGATGTCTGGAGAAGTAGCACATCTTTTCAGGGGATGTTGGGGCAGTAGCATAGTAAGATTCTTCATTATAGAAATGTTACTCTGGCTATGTGTGGAGGCTGCACTACATGGAGTCAATTCCAGGGTCCAGGGAGGCTAGTTAAAAGACAATTTCAGGCTTCTAGGCAAGAGATGATGATGGACTGGACTAGGAGAGGGTCAACAAGGATAGAGAGAAAGGATTGTGGAATTGAGATTAGAGCTGGGATGGACCCTTGACCTTCTTATTCTTTTGCAGGACCCCACAACTGAAGATTACTTCACTCACCAGGCAACAGCAAAGTGATCCCCATGAAATCCTTCCTCCAGACACTTGGGGAAATTGAGTTTCTCCAGGGCCTCTCTGAGCCATGTGCAGAACAAGCAAACACTCCAGCAGCACCAGAGCCACAGGTCTATATGCCTCTGACCGCTCATGATAACGGAAGCCAACATGAGTCAACCCAAAACAAGGTGTTGCCTTCCTTAAGACCCACAGCAATGACTTCTACACATTCTGACATCCCTGGGACAATCCTCACCCAGAACTCAACAACACCCCCTGTTAAAGCCCTCGATATGACCTTTGCAGGTCTAAGTGAGACTTTTTCCATGGCCCAGAAGGTGACCTCCTTTGATCAGATAAAACCAACAGCAGAATGCCAGATGACAAATATCACTGAGACCACAAAGACATCATTCACTGATGGCCAAATGACAGCTACCACTACAAGCAAGATGACAAACCCCAATGAGGGTGACCAGATGATGACCCTCAGTGTTGACCAGACCCTCAGTGGACACCAGATAACAATCTCCAGTGGTGACCAGACCCTTTCTGGGGACCAATTGATGACCTTCGATGGTGACCAGGCCCTCTATGGAGGCCAGATGACAACTCTTAAAGGGGGCCAGATGATGACCTCCAATGGTGACCAGATCTATAAGGACCAGAAGACAACTTTTAAAGGGGACCAGCTGACGTTCTCCAGTAGTGACCACACCTTCTATAAGCACCAGATGACCAGTCTTAAAGGGGGCCAGATGATAACCTTCAGTGGTCACCACACCCTCTATTGGGGCCAGCTGATGACCTCCAGTAGTGACCAGAGCATCTATGGGGACCAGATGACAACTTTTAGAGGGGGCCAGATGATGACCTCCAGTGGTCACCACACCTTCTATGGGGGCCAGCTGATGACCTCCAGTAGTGACCAGAACTTCTATGGGTACCGGATGACAACTCTTAAAGGGGGCCAGTTGTCAACCTCCAGTAGTGATCACACCGTCTATGGTGACCAGATGACAACCTCCAGCAGTGATCATACCCTCTATGGTGACCAGATGACAGCTTCCAGTGGTTACCAGACCCTCTCTGGGAGCCAGCTGACAACCTCCAATGGTAACCAGACTTTC